ATTCTGATTTGCCTTCCTATTTCTTTCCACCATTGCCAAACAATACAGTTAGTAACACTTATTTCTTCTATCTTCAAAGACCATTTTCCATTAAGTTTGTTTCTGAGGTTATTTAGTAACAGCTAACATTTACTGAAATTTACTATGTATACTGTACTAAGCACCTTTACATGTACAATTTCATTTATCCTCATACTGAGCATTTAAAAGTAAGTACTACTGTAATTATATAAACCTTGAGCTTCAGGAAAGTTGCTAATATGACTTCAAATCTTTGGATCTAATTCTAGCAGCATGACTACAGAGTCTTAGTTTAATCACTATACTAAATGCTCACTATGCTAACTGCACAATACTTTTAGAGCTCTAGGCCATGAAAATGTTTCAATATTTATATTAACACAATATATTATCATATAATATTAATATATCCATTTTTATACCAAGTCATAAAATATAACCTTAAACATCTTTTATGAAGAATAGGCTCATGAAAGTCCTAATACAACCTTGGCTACATCACATCTCCAAAGGTACACTGGCTTTTAAACTTTTATCTTTCCCCATTTTCTTATATATATGTATTTCCTATCAGACTCTTTCATTTCCTTGAATGTAATGAATAAGTATTACTTTTTCAAACTTTTTCAAACCACATTTATTTCTGGAAAGCAAAAGAGATCAACTACCCAATGGTTTAATTCATCAAAGGGGGCAAAGTATCATGTATGCTTCACTTATATCATTCCCAGTTCTATCCAATCTCTATGTCTGCAGGTAGGGGAAGAAATGTGGGGTGTATAAATAGCCATTTCATTTTATCTATTGATATAAATATGCTACCTTATCTAATGCAGAGTTTTTCACATGGTATGTCTTAACAAGCCTTCCAAAAATCCTGAAAGCTATGAACATATGGTATTCCCTCATGTGATGGTTAATTTTATGCACCAACTTGACTAAACCGATGTCTGGGGTGCTGAGACATTTGGTTCAACATGCAAGGGTATTTCTGGGTGAGATTAACTGGTAGACTTAACTGAGGCAGACTGCCCTCCCTAAAGTGAGTGGGCCTCACCTAATCAGTTAAAGACCTAAATAGAACAAAAAGGTTGAGTAAGAGAGAATTTCTCCTGCCTGACTTGAGTTATATGACATCAATCTTTTCCTACTTTCTGATATGAACTGAAAAATTGGCTCCTCCTGGCTCTCAAGGCTGCCAGCTTTCAGAACTTACATTGGCTCTCCTAGTTGTCAGGCTTTCAGATTTAAACTGGAACTATATCAACTCTCATGGGTCTTCAGTTTGCTGACTGTGTATTTCAGAACTTCTCAATTTCCAATAAATCCCTATCTGTCTGTCTCTTTCAACTCACACAGCATCCTACTGGTTCTGTTTCCCTAATTAACACACCTGTAGTTTTTTTTTTGTTTGTTATGCAGTACTGGGGGATGAACTCAGGGTCTACTGCTTACTAGGGAGGCTCTCTACCACTTAAGGCATTCTGCCATCCCTATACTCATATTTTATAAATGACTACAGAGTACAAAAAGAATATAAGTACCACAAGTCTAATTCAGCTTTCCAGAGGTGTGTGGAAGACCACACCTAGGATCCTAGATTCTGGTTCTTATGCCACTCAAATGCATATTTCTTTTAAAGTATTTTGTATTTAAGGCAACTCTTAAAATTCTTTCAACATATTTCCTGTCAGTTTTCCTATCAGGCTTAGAACAGAAGTTGGTTAGTGTCAATAGTTTTAATATTGATAGCATTGGGTCTTCACTTAAATGGAAGTTTAGAAGAAACATAAAATCCACTGAGTAATTTAATCTTCCATTTAAAAGGATACTTTATGCCTTCCCACTATTAAATATTAAGTAAGATATCAAGTACAATCTACACTTGTATGCTTATCAATTTCCAACTTCAAGTTATGCAAAAAGAGTAACCAATTGTAATATTTACAATGTTCTAAAAAAGACAACTTGCTACTTCGTACAGTTTCTGGATAACTAAAAACTATTTCTATCTATGTTAGAATTAAATACCAGAATGTCAAATTTTCTGAAGGGAAAAACAGCAAATGTAAATGCTATCCAAATATTTAAAGTAAGTTAGCAAAGATCCATAAGGTTAAAATCTTAAATCTTAATTCTTTTATTTTGTTGCTTATAATTCAAATGTTCACCCACAGAAAGGAAAATATGCACAAATCTTAGGTAGGTGATTAAATAAAGGCAAAAATGTAGGATTGGTTACCTTCAGTACAAGAATGCTGATTGTGAAAAATCAGTAACTACTTAATCTGAAAATAGCACAGGACAAAATATTAGTGATTTCTTTTTTTTCTTTTTAATTTTCTTTTTTTGTTTTAATTTTCAAAGCTCTTAAAAAAAAAAAAATCGTCGGCTAGTAACATTTCCCCAGTATTCTAAACAATTATTAACAAAAAAATCACACACAGTCTTCCTTTCTATAGGGGAATTTTAATATGAACAGGTAATTATCATTTACCTAAATTCTCAAGTAACTTCTAGAGCAGTATCTTAAAATTTTACAAAAGCTCAGTTCAATGCTTATGATTTTATCTTTTGTTTTAAATCTCAGCCCAAAAAAGTGAAGATGAGCTTTGACCTCTTTCTCCTTTGCACAATAGAGGTACCATACTTATCTTTCTCTACCATTTATAAGAATGTTAGGGCTGGTGGAGTGGCTCAAGTGCTAGAGTGCCTGCCTAGCAAGGTGAGGCCCTGAGTTCAAGCCCCAGGACTGCCAAAAAAAGAAAAAAAAAAAGTATATATATATATATATACTTTTATATATATATATGTAAATAATGTAATACATAATATATAAGAATGTTTACAAGGGAATGAAAGATACTGAACTCAGGGTTTGCAGAAAAAAAATCACTGAAGAGAAAAGAATACATTTTCTTAGAACATCTTAAAGTTTGAAAATTTCTTCTTGGTTGAGTTTTTCCCCATCTAAGTAATAAATTATTGCAACAAATTCATGAAGGATATCTTTATTGAAATTTTATTCTTTTGATAGGCTAAAAAAAAGTGCTAAAAAAAGGGACTTGGATAATGTTAATTACACACCAAAAACAGTGAAAAATGAAAAATATCTGAAATGACAACTATACTGTTTGCCTGAGTTCGCAAAACAAAGAGTTATTCTCCGTGTTGTTTAACTGAATTAACTGAGCCCTGAATCCTAAAAGACTCTTAGAACATTCTGCAATCATACTTTGGACAAAATCACTTAATGACATTCTGCTCAGGACCCTAACTGCATCCAGGTAAGATTCCACAGGAGTTAAGTCATTTCAAGTTTTACCATTAAAAAAAGTATGTTTATTATCATGTGTATGTAAGGATTTCTGTGCTGTCTTAAATACTTCAATAACTAGGAGAAATATTTAAAGAGAAATATTAATGAATCTAATCCTTTCTGAAAGGACAAGACTAAGATTGATGTACTTTTCCAGCTGATGGTGAAGAGAGGAAGTGCAGGCTATAACTCTCCTTCAAAACAGGAGGATAGAAATAAAGTCACTGTTCAATCTTCATTGACTTCTGACTTAGTTAATTTACTTGGCAGGGATTATCTACTTTCTTACCTCAACTTTCTTCCCAAACTTCTTTCCCTTCTTCCAGCAGTTTCTCTTCCCAACCTAGATCCATCTCCAAATTCTGTCATTTTGAAAAATCCATTCTACAATAATAAAAGCCTGAGGCCCTAGCAAGCAAATCTCATCTCTATACAGTTTCTATTTTATTTTTACAAATCAGAATCATACTACAAATTTCTTCTTTCTGAAGATTTATTTTGTTGCTTATTATCTAAAACCATAAAGCTTTTAAGAGGCTGAGTGAAGATCCAAACAAACCTGTCATATTCCATGAAGATCATATGCTATATTACGTTGTCCAATTCTAATAAATAACTCCAATCAACTTGTAATGATGTAAGAAACTCTTACTTGAAGTGGTCTATACTTTTAAAAATTCATTATGTGATGATGTTAAAAGTTCTAAGGCTACAAATTAAAGATCATCCAATACCAGTGTCACCCTATACTCTAGTGAGATGAAACAAAACAGGACAAGGGTTAGGTCAAGACCAACAGTCTTCATTTTGCACTATAATTAGTTTACTTCTTATTTAAAATTTTAAGGTTCTGACTCAATAATAAATTACTCAATAGGAGCAATACAGATAGCCAAACCATGTAATAAAAGAATTAGCAAGTTAAAACTATTTAGACACTCAAGGCCAACTGAAAAATGATTAGTGGCACACAGCAACTGGTAATTTTGTAATCTAATATCTTAATGTGTCAAAGGTACCAATGCAATGACATACAACCATTTTCATTAAAACAGCCTTTGTGTTTCTTAGCAAACAGCAATTGGAGAAATAAGGTTTGTAGACAGTATGAACCAGAAAAGAATAGTATACAGGTCTGAGGGATAAAAATATTCTCTCTGATACACCTACTCCCTAAAAAGAGTATACATCTATGTATATTTGCAAAAAATTATAAGCAAATCAATATAACCATAAGTCAACCTATAGCCATTTCTTGTTCTAGAACTAACCTTTAATTCATCTCATACTCTCCCTGTAGATTTCTTTTGTAGCCATTAAATTATGAGGTCTGAAACTGCTTTTTTTCCCTATTGTTCAATCATTATAGCATTTATACCTCAGGATAAGGTTTCAAATTCTGCTTGCCTTTTACTGCAATAAAAACTGTACTTCAATTTCTCTCTGGGATAAAAATCTCACAAAGCTTTACCACATGACTGTCTATTTGTAATTTCTCTCAAAGGTTTGTGAAAAATGTAACTTATCTACAAATCAGGTAAGTTTTATATATAAAACAGAGACTCCTTCAATAAATACTCAATTGAAACTTTTCTAAAAAGCTAAATTAGAAGCCTCCACAATTCATGTGTCATAAAAAATATAGGAAATTAGTAAATACCTGAACTGAATTGGCTGATTCCTGTAAATGGCCACAAGCAACTGCTCCTTTGGAAGTTGCTAAAGGGACACTATGTATCTTGGGGGTTCCCAGAGTATCAATATTTTCATCTGTCCTATGTGACTGCCAGACTTCCTTTCGATGATGAGATTCAGTAGCTTGCTGGTCTCCAAAAGCAGCCCAAGAACAACCATCTTTTTGTTCATCCTCAAAAGCATTCCAATCTACAATTTGGCTAGGACCAGCTGAACTGAAGTCTGCAAAATCATCAGAGTCTTGAAAAGCACTGCAGTTGTCTTCAGTATTTGGCACAGAATCAAAATCTCCAAACTCACCATCTTGCTCATTTTTCAGTTTTGAAACAGGTTCAGTACCTGTTCCACTACACTTTCTTGCCAACTGACATTCCTCTGATAAACCATCAGAAATCTGTTTTAGGTCTGACTGAGTAAATATCATTTCCTCTTGGCAAGAAATAGCATTTGTATCCTCAAATTCTCCAAAGTCATCACCTGGTTCACTAAAATGTGGAAAGTGCTCTGAAGACTCTTCAAAGGTAACATCACTCATTGAATCTTGAGTACCAGTAACAAAAGGTGGAGTGGTACCACTGGCTGTGCCAAAGTCACCAAATTCATCCTCATTGGTATCATTGCAAGTCATGAAGTCATTACTACTATCACCATTTTTTATGCTTACAGAATCATCCAAAACATTTTCTTCTGTGGGATCAATGTATGGGCTTTGGGAATTGGTAAACTTTCTACTTTCTTCTTTGGAAGAACCAACTTCATCAGCATTAGAAGTTTTAATAGAATCCATGCATAGGTCAGCACATTTAGAAGTAAACTTATCAAGTTTTTCCTCAGTTTTACATTGTTCTCTCCTAATGGCTTCTGAATTATCGGCCGAGTCTACCAAGCTCCAAGCCTCTGACTGAATACTTGAATTTAAAAATTCATCTTGTTGCAGTGTTGGAAGGCTTTGTTTTTCAACACTGAAATCTCTGTCAGTCATTTCACTGATTTCTGAACCAAAAAGCTGATGCTCTCCATCAGTGTCTCCTTTATCACCAAAGCTTCTATCCAAAGACACTTCTTTTACAGAATTCAGTTCATTGACTCTATTAATTTTGTTGTTCTCCTGAATGGTTAATACATCTCGATCCTTTAAAACTGCACGTCCTATTTCTTCTAGTTGTATTCTTTCCTTTTTGGAAAATGTGGCAAAGTCTGCAAATTCCTCAGCAGGACTAGGTGCAGAGTCTAAATTGTGCTCAGTGCTGTAAGTGCTAAGACTGAGAGGTTTCCGTCCCTTTGAATCAGCGACATTGTCCAGATCATCTGTTCCCTGAGGATTTACAGTTTCCAACCCTGCAAACCCATTTGTTAGAATCTCCAGACAGGGAGGCTTTTCACCATTGCAGCTCTCTAACTGCTTGTTTTGATGAACTATGTTCATATCAGTTCTAAAATCTCCTAGAGAGAAATTTTCAGGTGTTTCAACATTTTGTCTCTGTTCCATTACTTTATTTAAATCTCCTGGATTTTCAATGCCATCAGTGGAAGTATCTGAAGTTATAGATGAAATAATTTCTTTGCTGGTGTTAGAAAGTAAAACAGACTGTTCTTCCACAGGAGTAGAAAGTTCAGCAGTTATATCCTTATCATTACCATTTTTAATGGACTTAAAGCTTGTAAGGCTAGCTACGTTTTCTGAGAAATCATGAATTGGCATAAAATGGTTTGAAGATACGAACTCTTCCTTGGGACAAGTATAATCTGGTGTATCAAAATCTACAAACCCGACACTGGAAGGGCTAACTTCTGAAAACCCACCAAATTCTCCAAATTCATCATCATCATCCTCCTCTGCTCCATTGTCCAGTGGTGGTGGGGATGAAGAGTACATTCGAATGATGTCTGGCTCCATTGTTCACGTTCTTTCAAATAATTAATTTATATCTGAAAAAAAGAAAAAAAAGCTTTTATGGAGGGGGAAGATCACATATAATAAGAACTTTCAATAATTTCTCAAAGCTACTTTAAAACAATGCAAATTTATGCTGCACTGTTCTGTATCATGCAAACAATTTTTGTCTTTGATAACTATACAGCTATTACCTACTAGCAAAATATGTTTTTTCTCTTTTAGCATATGTTACCAAGGGCACTGGTAGTACATGAATGAAATTTGGGCATTTCAGAAAATCTTGAATATACATTTTCAAAAGTATAACTACAAAATTTTCTCTTGGGTACAGGTTAATTCTGTTAAAGTCTTGTTTAAATCTTAACTGGGGACTCAGTGCTTGCCCCATGGATTTGTATGAGTTTTATATATATGAAAGACAAAAATTTATCTCTAATAATTTCTACAAATATGTGCTTCACTTTGCTTTTCAATCTTTATTTCTGATTTGAGTTTTAATAATTTTTCATTGTGAAGTAGTTTAAGGCTCGTAAGAAGTAGCAAATAGTAGAGTCCTCATGTATATTCCACCAGCTTCTAGCCATGGTACAGATGCTCCTTGACTTAGGATAGCATACATCTTGATAAATCCATCACAAGCTGAAATGATCACAAATTGAAAATGTATTTAACGTACCTAATCAAATGACCCCTATAGCTCAGCAACATAGAAAACTGCAGAGGAATGGTTAGTTATCCTTATGATCATGTGGCCACTGGGTTTCACGCTGCTCACGAGAGTATCCTTCTGCATATCACTAAACCAGGATAAGATCAAAACTCAAAATATGGTTTCTACTGAATGCATACTGCTTTCACAATGTTATAAAGCTGAAAAATTCTAATCTTCTTGTCATGGTTTCATCCCAGTTAGAGACCATATGTAAATGGTCAAACCAGAAAACAGGCAAAAGTAAAATACTATTAATTCAGGTTCAGGCCTTGTTTGGATTTCATGAATTTTATTTTTTTGGCTCCTGTGTTGATTTATAAAATTTTGTCACGTGTGTAGATTAATCATCACTATAATCAGGACTAAAAACTGCAATCAATAAAAGAAACTCCCTCATGATGACCTTTTATAGTCACACCCTTCCCTGAACCCTAACCCTTGGAAACCACTGATCTATTCTCCATCATAACTATGCTACATTGAGTATTTTGAAACTGTGTAATATGTAATCCTTTGAAACTATCCTTTTTCCCATTCATCCCTAGAGAGCCATCCATGTGGCATATAGGACACCCAGGTTATTTCCAGTATTTTACAATACAAATAAAGCTGTTAGTTGGGTACCAGTGGCACATGCCTACAATCCTAGCTACCTGGGAGGCTGAGATTGGGAGGATCTCTGTTTGAGGACAGCCAGGGCAAATAGTATGCAAGACCCTATCTCCAAAATAACTTGAGAAAATGGACTGGAGGGTAATATTAATATTACCTGTAGGTAGAGCATCTGTTTTGCAAACACAAAGTCCTGAGTTAATACCCCAGTCCCACCAAAACAAACGTACAAAAAAACCAAAGCTGGTGTATGAACGTAAGTTTTCATTTCTCTAAAACATAAATATTCAAGAATGTGAATGCTGGGTCATATGGTATGTTCAACCTCATAAAACAAACAAAAAAACCCTGCCAAACTGTTTTCCCAAGTTATTTTATGGTGGCAAATAATAAGTTGATCTTCTTTGTAATTTTCTTTACAATTTTGCTATCATATAAGCTTAAGAATTAATACTTTTATTTTCCTTTGTTTTTACTTTTAACATTTATATTTTAAATACATCTAGAACTTATTGTGCTTTATTATATAAAGCAAGGATCTAAGTGAGTTTTTTCCCTAAACCGCTGGTGATCAAAATTACATTTGCTCAATAATCCTTCCCATATTCATTTATGATGGCTTCTTTTTATACGTATTTAATTCTTAAATGAAATCTGTCAGGGATATTCTGATCTTCTGTGATAAGCCCACAAATGAGACTTAACATTAAAAGCAAAATAAGGATGGGGAGAAGATGGCAGAATAGAAGTATCCTGCAAACAACTACAAGTGAGAAAAGTCAGGACAACAAAGAAGAGACTATATTCTGAGGAGAAAAAAATGGGAAGAGCTCTAGGAATCAAGACAAACATGTCAGGAAAACTAAAAAGTATGCAGAAGGAGAAAGGCAACTTGGAGAAGTACAAAGCAATCCATAACTACAACCCTGGCTAGGAGGTAGAGGGGACTGGAGCAACCAGACTCAACAAGTACAGTTGTTAGTGAAGTTTCTTTTCTCCTCTTTGAACAATACTGGCCTTTGAAAGAAGGCCTCAGTGAAGACCCTCATATAAAAGCAGAAAAGATATCCATTTTAACAGATATGCAAATCTCAACATAGAAACACAAGAAATATGAAAACACAGGCAACATGACTTCTGTTCAAGTTCATAACTTACTAATAACTGAATCGAAAAATATCAAAGAGGATAAAAGACCAAAGAATACAAAAGACACATTTAAAAAATGGTTTCAAAGAGAATACAAATAAATAGTTGAAAAGAGCAATTCAATAGAGAGATTCTGAAAAAAAAAAAAAAGACCCAACAGAAATCTTTCAGATGAAAAAACTCCGTAAGTCAAATAAAAAGTCTTAGTTGAAATCCTCATCAACCGACAAGATGAAATGGAAGCATACAAGGGCTTAAAAACAAGATTGATGAATTATCACAAACAGTAATAAAAATATGAAGAGATTATACAAGGCCTATGTGACATGATTTGGAGACCAAACTTATGAATAGCTGATATAGACAAAGAAGCAGCGAGGCAGACTAAAGGTATAAAGAACTTATTTGGTAAAATAATAGCAAAAAAAATTCAGGTACAGGAGGCATGTGGAACAACAAATGGACATGATCAAAAATGAACCTCTCCATGCTGTATTACAGTTAAAACTAACCAACATAAAGTTAAAACTGACCAATATAATAAAGAATGATGAAAAAATACTGAAAGGTGCAAGAAGTGCCAAGTCAATGAAATTATCCTTCAGAATCGAAGGAGAAATAAAGACCTTCAATGATAAGTATAAAAGAATTCATGACCACTGAACGAGCATTACAGAAGATAAAGGAATCCTACACACAGAAAGGGAAGCAAGACAAACACAATCACAACAGCATAAGCAAGAATAAATCTGGTCTGAAGGCATGGCTCAATCAGTAGAGTTCCTGCCTATAAGCATGAAGCCGAGTTCAAACCCCAGTATTACCAAAAAAAGAAAAAAGAAAAAAAACCCCAAAAAAGATGCTACTAGAAGAGTAGATAAGTAAATGAGAATTAATAAAGACTCAAACATGATTAATTCAGTAAGCCATCAAACCTCTAAAATGCATAAAGGAGAAACAAAGAAAGATTATTCAAAACACCAATGAAAAAACAACAAAATGGCAGGAACTAGTATATACCTTTTGTAATAACCATGAATGTAAATGGTTATAATTGTCCAATTAAAACACAGTCTGGATGATTAGATTAAAACATATGACCAAGAATATGCTGCCTATAGAAATACACCTCAGCAACAAAGGCATACACAGATAAAATGAAAAGATATAAGATGATATTTCAAGTAAATGGAATCTATAAACAAGCAGGAACACTTATACTAATATCTGACAAAACAGACTTTAACCCAAAATTGGTCAAAAGAGACAAGGAAAGTCACTACATATTGATAAAGTAAACAACTCATCAAGAAGCTATATATGTATAGCTATAATGACTGGAGCACCCAGTTCTATAAATCAAATGCTACAAGACACAAAGGGAAACACAGGCCCTCAATACTATAATAGTGGGTGGCTTCGATACCCCAATTTCACCAATATATGGGTCTAGACCAAACCAAACCATGTAAAATGAGAAACCAACTAAGAAACAATGGAGTTAAATTACACTATAGATTAAATGTACGTAACAGGCATTGATAGAATATTCCATTCAAATAGTGTAAGAATATACATTATTTTCATTAACATTTGGAACATTTTTCAAATGAATCCTATTTTAGGCCATATAAAGCAAGTCTTAACAAATACAAAAATTCTGAAAAAATTTCTTACATCTTATCAGATTACAGTGGAATGAAACTAGAAATTAACATCAAGAGAAACTACAGAAATTATACAACTATATGGATGTTGAACAATACCTTTTTGATATGAGGGGATTAAAAAATTTCTAGAATAAAATGAAAATGGCAACACAACATGTAAGAATCAGTGGGATCCAGAAAAAGCAGTTCTAAGAGGGAAGTTTATAGCTAGAGTGTTTTCGTAGCTTTCAAGTAAATAACCTAATGATGAATCTCAAGGTTTAAGAAAAATAAGCTCAAACCCAAAATCAATAGAAGGAAAGAAATAAAACCAGCATGGAAATAAATGAAATAAGAGACTAAAAGAACAATACAAACAATCAATGAAACAAAGATTCAGTTCTTTGAAAAGACAAAGTTAACAAACATTTCCCCAAACTAACCAAGAAAAAAGACTCCAATAATTAAAATTAGAGATGAAAAAGGGGATATTACAACAGATACTACTGAAATCCATAGGATCATTAATGAATACTGTGAAAAATTATTTGCCAATAATTTGGAAATGTGGAAGAAATGGACAAATTTCTAGACATACATGACCTACCGAAATAGAAACAAGAGGATATAAAGAAATCTAAAAATATCATTAACAATAAGATCAAAGCTGTAATACAAAGTGCCCAACAAAGAATAGTCCAGGACTGGATGGATTTGTGGCTGAATTCTAAGAGTCTTTTAAAGAAGAACTAATATCAATGATCCTAAATATAAATAAAATAAAATATTTTCTATTTTATTCCATAAAATAGAAAGACAAGGAACATTTCTAAACTCATTCTATAAAGCCAGTATTATCCTGATACCAAAGCCTAATAAGGACACAACCAAAAAATATATACACCAATAT